CTTCAAATTTCTAAGCTATGGGGTATGATGTCCTACTGCTTATATAGAGGCTGCTTTCTTCGTCAGCGTCTGGAAGAGTGCTAACGCATCGTGAGCGCTCAATAAGCATTCATTGAATAAATAAGTGAATGAATGAACTATTAACATTTTAAACATTTGATCCACCTAAAATTACCCCTTATAGCACAGAAAACATGCCTAATAGGGGTTGGGGTATGGGTAAAGTATTAGCAAGCCCTTGGGGCTGCAGACCTCAAGCCTCATTCCTTGCTCCCCTTTATTAGTCATCTAAAGCTTGCATTTTGACCATCTATCTGGGACAGGGCTTATTTATTGGCCTTCTTGAAGCGTTATTAAAAAGTATATTCATTTTCTTTAAATTTAGGTTCAGTGATACTCTAACCTAAACAAAACAAAAAATCAGTGACATTGGTTTGAGGACTATGAGGTGAGTATAATACAGTCATCCCCCCCATTATTGGACAGTCTTAATTCCCCAATCACTGGAGCCACCTCGTAACTGCAGGCCTTCCCCACCAACACTGAGGTTCAACATGAACATCCTTACCTGGATTTCACCTTCTCTGTAAGCAGATCAGAGGAAGAGAAAAATCCAGAAAGCACAGAGCCAAGTATGCCTGTACCCATCAGATAGGCGAGTGGGGAGCAGTGGGAGAGCAGAGAACAAGAGAAGCTGGAAGTGCTCCTCTCTTAGCTTCTCTCCTGGGGGCTGGACTGGAAAGTCCCTTCCTGTGTGGCAACAGGAGGGGTAGAGAATGATTATCTCACTGAACAGTTATTTCAACATCAGCTGTGCTTTAGGAAAGCTACTGGTCTGTGCGTGCCCTAGAAATCCAGTATGTTGACATTTTCATTTGCATCACTTTCTTCCACTTCAAGGTTTGAAAGTCTTCAGTGTCTAGATTGGGCCCCAGTCAGATGTTAACATTTCCTTATTAACTAGACTGTGTTTGACCTTTGCAGACAGTGAAGCCATGCACAACAATGGCCACTTTCTCTGTGGATACTACTTTTGGAAAGCTGTGCCCACTATAGATATTAGGGTAGCTTGAATGTTTCTAATGTTTGAGAGAAAGTGAAAACCACTCTTTTCTAAAAAGCAGTGGTTAGAGCAGAGCCAACCAAAATCTTGCTGTTGTCAGCAGTGGTGTGGTTACCACACATCCAGTTTAACCAGCAGCAAAAAGCTTAAAGCATGAGGGATGAAATCTCACAACTCAAGTAATTCATGAGCACACCACCTCCCTCTCTCTCTCTCTCTCTCTCTCACTCACTCGCGCACACACACACACACACAGTCAGTAACAACAGATTTTAGGATAAAACCTAGACTGTGTAGGAGGTAGGAGAGATACTGGAGAGGGGCAAGAATTGTTATATGATACTTCTTAAATTTTCCTAACAATAATATTGATTTAACTATAAAATAATGAAATAAGCTTTCATGGGTAGTTGCAGAAATGGATTCATTATTTTCTGTGTCATACCACTTAAAGCCATGATTTCTAGCTCAATGACAGAATTTGGGGGGGATTTGCACAAACTAATAAACCACATGCAATTTGTAAGTACATGTGAGCCTCCACCAAGGTTAACCAAAATATCTTAATAAAATGTACCATGTTTGCCATGACTTCTGTTTAATGAGGAGCATCTGTATGCCTCACTGGCCGATTCTAAATTGCAGCAACTTGTTTACTTAGAGAGATTTCACAATAATGTAACTTAATGATGCATACAGATCAAGTGATTCCGTTTTACCAGTATTTTTTTAGTATGCTGTGTCCTCTGCCTGGAATATTCTTCATACTCAAAGACTGTCAAAATTGGAAATAAACCCTTAAGATTTCCTAGTGAAAACCTTTCACTTATAGATGAGGAAACTGAGTTATAATAAAACCAGGATGAGGAGACACTTTTCAATGTCCATTTCTTTGTTCTGTCCTCTCCCCATCCTGCAAGACCCAGTACAAGCTGCACCTCCTCCAAGAAGCCTTCCTTGACCCCCATGATTTATCACTTTTATGAACCCCTAATCATGGTCTGTACTGTACTATTTATCATTTGGTTAAAAACCTCCATTATTATGTCTTACTCTTGTATCTCTAAGATTATTATCCAAAGGACAAAATCCATGTATTATGGTTCTCTTGACTAGAACACTACAGCACCTAGCAAAATCATGTCCAACACCCTCTCACCTAATGTATTTGTCCTTTTTCATCACTTTAACCTTGTCACTTCAAATATACCACCCTCTTTAATAACCTAAACTTTCATATACATGACTCTTTCAACCATAGGCTTACTATATGTGTATATATATTACACACACACACATCCTTGTCACGTACACTGTATCTGGAAAATAGTACGCATTCAATAAATGTTTGAGAGAGATGGGGGAAGAAAGAGGGGTCTTGGTGAGGAAAGGTACATANCGTACACTGTATCTGGAAAATAGTACGCATTCAATAAATGTTTGTTGAGAGAGATGGGGGAAGAAAGAGGGGTCTTGGTGAGGAAAGGTACATAGAGGAGGTAGGATTTAAATGGAGCTTTGAAGCAAACATATTGCTTAACATGCAAAGAGGAGGGAAAGTTATGTTTGAGACAGAGTATCCTGTGCTTTAATCCCAAATTGGGCCCTTAGCCTTTGTTTAATCTTAGGCAATTTACTTAAGTTCTGTCAACCTCCATTTCCCCATCTGCTCAACTAGGACACTATCATATATTTCATAGTGTTGTTATGAGAAATAACTGAGATAAGTTACACAGTAGGATTCAATAATGGTTGGTATCAACAACAACAAAAGTCAATAATAACTCCCTGAATGAGGAAGCCAGAAGTGAGGGCGTAATGGGGTCTCAGCTAGACTGGAGCAAAATGCTTCACAGAGGGAGATGATTATAGATGAAAATGGACAGAAAAGACAGATTCAGTCACCGTTTCTCTCCAATGGATTCGAAGTTTAAAGCTATCTGCTGCATCACTAAATTCACTGCGGGATGTCATGAAGGCCAAGGGCTCTGAAGTAGTCCTTTCTCAGTAAACAGCACATGAGCTTTGAATCAGACAAGACATGGGTTGCAGTCTCAGGCCTGGCACTTCCTAAGGGAGTAAACTCGAGACAGCTTGTTGTTGTAAGTATTACAGTCATATATCCAAAGCGTCTGCCGTGATGGTGGACACGATAAATCTTAATTCTCATCTGTGATGTACCAACATCACATCCCACCCCCTGTACCTTTATTTTCTTTCTCTCTTGCTTGCCTTCACCTCCTCCTGTGCTTTCCTAGCTCTTTCTTCGTAACCTGGTTGTTGCCTGCCTACCTATACCCTGGGCTTTCAATAAGTGTTTACCGAGATTAGTCTCCTTCAAAAGCATTTACGGAGCATTTCCTGTAAATTGGGTACTGTGCTAATAACACTAGATTCAGACACAGCTGCCTGTGGTGCCCTTGGAAGTATTTCAGACTCATTTGCATGAATGAACCAGGTCTCCTCCAGGTAAATCAATTTGCAAAGCATATCACCTTGAGGTTAGACAAAGCCACACTGTAGGACACAGGTGCTCCCATTTCTTTTAGTTCCAAAAGTGTGCGTGGTGGCATAGCACAGAGAAGAACCAGAAAGTCTCCAATAGGAGTCACTGAAATGGCAGGAAGCAACAGTGGACAGTGGTGGAAACGCAGACGTCAAGGCACAGCCAGGGGTGTCCTTTTGACCCAAGAATCCCACTTCTGGCAATTTTGCCTGAGAAAATAATTATGGACATGCACAAAGACTTAGCTTGAAGATGCTCCTTGCAGACTTGTTTACATGGTAATGCAAAAGTAAAACAAGTCTTGACCTCTAACATTAGATTAATTCAATTATGGTTTATCCATATCAGCTGTTAATAAATGATATCACAGAGGAATATTTAGTGACATGGAGAGATGACCAGGTTATACTATCAACTGACTAAAGCAGGTTGCAAAGCGAAATACACCCAGAGAGCCTGTGTTTGTAAATATATATGAATAGAAAAAAAGAGTGGAAAGCTAGCAAGATGTTAAAAATAAGGGTCTCTAAAAATAAAAAAATAATCGGCTGTGGTGAGATAATGGATATTTACTTTTTATTTTTTGTTTCCTCTTTCTAGTTTTAAAAGTTTCCATGTGCCACTTTTGTAACAAGAAAAACTACCCTGATGTATGTATACATATGTGCAAACTATATATATACACGCACATATATGGATTCGATAAGTGGTAGTTACAACAAAAATAGTATAAGTATAAATATATGTCTATGCATACACACACACACACGTTTTTGTGGGTGGAGATCGATGATGGTGAAGATAGATGCAGATTAGATAGGTGATAGATGGGTAGTTGNATGGTAGTTGCTAACAACAAAAATAGTATAAGTATAAATATATGTCTATGCATACACACACACGTTTTTGTGGGTGGAGATGGATGATGGTGAAGATAGATGCAGATTAGATAGGTGATAGATGGGTAGTTGATAGACAGACAGACAGACAGGCACGCGGAGGGCACGCGGGGCTCGCCGTCTAGCCGGCGCGTGTGCGGAGCCCCGAGCGCCGCGGGCGGCGAGCGGATGGAGACGGGCCC